ACAGCTGTTGTTTGGTACGTTTCCCCCTCAACACATGATCCCATGTACACAATGTAAACCTGCATCATCTTAATGATGTCTGTCATGAGAATCGACGGTACAATTAAAATAAAAAGTAAGATGCAAAGAAATTACATGCCTTTCGTTCTTCGTCATTGACATTGGCATTGCAGAATAGGTTCAGCGCAAGAAAGAAAATGAAAGAAATGTCAAAAAACTGCAAGAGGCCAGACTTTGCCATTGTTGTATGCATGGCAAGGAGGATTGGTTATGTGTCTTATATCAGATTGAGGATTTTGTATTTCTTTTCTTCCCTTTCATTTCATCTCATCTTTGAAAAGATTTCAAAAAAATCTACTTCCCCAATTCCCTTAATCATTTTAGAAAAACGTAATTCTTTGGGATTACAGAGAAAGAAAATAGAGATTTGTTTCCTTTTACAGCACAATGTCATATCCGATCCAATTACAAATTAAGAAGGAAAATAGTGGGCAACAATACCAAATTACCTCTGAACTTTCTAGATTTGACCTTCAATTTTTGCAGACTATTAAAATTATATGTTCCCGAACTCGTTTGAAACACTAATTTAACAATAGAAACCCTCACATAACTCACATGATCTTCATCGTTTATTAAAAATGTCATGTCTCCTCCACGTATTAGAACAAATTATTTTGAATAATGATAAATAAAATAAAAATATAAGATTAAAATTTAAAATTAATAATATGATATAAATTATGTTATTTAAAATATTAAAAAATAAATTTTATATTATTTAATAATTAATTTTTTAATTCTTTTAAAATTTATAATATTGTATATATTAATTAATTTAATAATATAACATAAATATTATTATTAATCTAAATTTTTTAGACCAAAGTTTTCGTCTCCCTATCATTACTTAATTATTTTAGTCACATATGTCATGTGAAATTAAAAAGTTTATTTATTATCAAAATTACCTTTTTATTCCCAAAAAAAAAAAAAATTTCTTGTAGAACAATATGCTGTCCAAACAGCACCCTAGCGGTAATTGCATTGCTAGGATGCACCGTATTTATGTATATCACTATAGTTTAATTCTATGTAGTCCCTCCTCCAATTTCTCAATGTTAAAAAAATAAAAAATAAAAAATACACTGCCCAAACTTTATTTCTTTCTCCCCAAACAGAGATAAAAAACGTAACTCTCCATAGCAAATTAAAAATTTTCGCTATGGATGAAACTCTCAAACCTTGTTCACATCTAACCTCTCCTCCCCTTCTCTGTTGTTCCCTTCCTCCCTATCTTCTTCTCTTTCTTTTTCCTTAACGCGGGCTTAATTCTTCATTGATTGAAGCCATTTAATTTTTTCCTTTTTTTTTTTTTTTCTTTTTCTTGAGCAATGATTCAGCGGAGTCTACTCAACTTAGTTAACTCAAAGTCAGTGAGGACAAGCATGATTAAGATTTATCGGGTCTCTGACTTTTGTTTTCTTGAGTTTGAAATTTAAGAATATATCCATTTTTCTTGGTGGTGATTTAAGGGTTGAAATGAATAAAAGGTTTTTCAGACAAAAAGACCAAGTTTGATGTTTTGTAATGTGTCCAAATTTCTAGTGACTTCCAAAATCTCCGGTGTAAGAGCACCCAAATTCCCTTCTCCGTCGTCCCCCCTTCCTCCCTATCTTCATCGGTTTTTTTCTTTTCTTTTTTTAATTTCAAAAGAACTGGGTTCTCTAAGGAACCCACTTCCCTCCTGTTTATCTTCATTCCCTTTGCCCATTCAAATGAAGATGTTGTGACTCAATTGACTGATTTGAATGAGAGCTTGCTGCCATGTTTTCTTATAGCATGTTGGTATAGTGAAGAAAAAATGATGGATGATGCTGGGGAGAAGGAGAAAGGATATATGAAAATAAAGGAC